CACACACACATAAGGTGACCTTGTTGTTAACTGTTTGTTTGCTGTTACAAACAACACACACTATAGATCAGTAACACCACCACCACTTCCAACTCCTGCAGTACAGAAAAGCATCTCTTCCTGGTCCTGAGTGACAAATAAACAACCACGTCTGCCCCCACGTTCAGTGTTTACTGGAGAAACAGGCATTGATCATCACCCTGGTATTTTTCTGCAGATACTAATCTTAAAAGCGGTACTGATGTTTCGTATTTCATTGCGACAGCACCGCGTGGGAAGCTTAACATCTGGAGTTAACCCACTGTACTGAAACTGTGATGCTTGGTGAAAAACACTGCTCTGTTAAAATGTTTATTCTTTTACCAACGACACAACTCTTCCCTAGAGTCTGAAGAACTGAAGAAGATGAGCACCAGTTACTCCAACGCTTCTCATTTAAATGTATGAAAATTAATTAAACAGATATGAGGTAAATATGAAGCTTCCCTGTCTAATGACCCACATAATGAATGCATCCTATGAACCCAAAATATCGGCCTTACTTTTGATATTAGTGCCTATAAGAAAATATCTTTTTAAACAAACCCTAATGCCAATTAGCTGACCATACTTGTATACTAACACAAACTAAATCAAGAGATCATGAAGGGAAACTTCACAGTTCATCACTCCCTTTCGAGTTAAGAGTCTATTTTTCTAAATTAAATGTATAAATCTCAGACAAAGCATGGGGACAGAAGAAAGACAATCCGGACTGCAGGAAAGTCTACCATCTACCAGCACCAGTGCTGCTTCACCAGAGTAGACGCTGAGGCCTGGACTGGGCGTGTTGGTCCCACACTCTGTAAAGACAGGAAGGAGTCAGGGCCACTTCACTGACTGTCTGGCTCACTGGATTTCTCTGGAGGATCTGATCTTAGCTCAGAAAAATGTGTTTGTTCATGCTCATGGCCTTCGGAAAAACGCTGTAGGATTTGGCTGATAAGCGAGCAGCAGCCTTTGTGTATATTCACATTCTGTAACTCTGAAAGTACACGACAGAGTATGTGCTCACCGTGTAGATAACCGGAGTTTCAGAATTAGCCATCGATGACTTTTACGACATTTGTCACCGAACTAAAACTATTCATCACCCGAGTGTGCAAGCAGTAGTTCCATTTAAGTTGATGGAAACGCTTAAACTCTTCAAACGTGTGCACCCATTTGTGAATCCATCCTTAATGTGTGGACGAGCAATGAGCTCATCCACAGAGTTTAATCTGAAATTCAAGACAATATATCATATTGTAACATGTTGTAATTAAATTACAGGGATAAGTATGTGAATTCATGCAGGAGGCTTCTGTAATTCCAATGCTGCCTTGTAATAAATGGTATAGGATTTTAATGTTTCACATATAGTCCTAATTCTTCCCTATCAAAGGTCAACCCCAGAGTCCAGGAGCACGTCTGAATCGCTCCTCTTGGGTTTTTCGTGCATTAGTTATTAGGACTGAAAAATATAAAGGAATTTGTTGGAGAATCCTGATTGTGCTGTGGGATGCATCCAGACGAAGCAGAGTGGAACTCAGTCATAATTTAGGTGATTCAAGACGTCTGCACCTTCCAGTATTAGAGCGGGTTGAGAGTGAGATATGTGCTGCTCTGGTCTAAAGCGACTGTAAATCCCGAATAGACGGATAAACGACAGCTATCGCCTCTGTGGCGTTGGACCGGACTCCTCCTTCAACAGCAAAAAGATGCTGTTTCACCCAACACACACACACACACACACACACACACACAAGGACACAATGCAACCCCCCCTACACAGCATAGCAACATCAAACTTTACACACACTAAACGCTCTCCCTGGAATTTACAGTGCAGTCATGCATACACTGTTAAAATCTCTCTTGGACCTATATATTGTCTCACACTCACACATTCATTGTGCCGTATAGACACCCGTGTACACACACACACAGACACAAAGACAGACACAAAGACAGACACACACACACACACACACACACACGACATGCAGGAGTTCACACTCTGGCTGCTATACGTTTCGCTTTTCTTTAATAAGAAACATAAAAAATAACTTTTATGATATCAAATTCTGATATTCAAAATATAGATGTTCAAGCAAAGAGCACCATGCTGGAGATTTTTTAGCAGGTCGCACAAGGGAGCGTGCACGCCAGGAAATCTCATCTCAATGTCAACACTATAAGAAGAAGTTATTACTGGTCTATACAACTTTAATAAACCTCAACCTTGATGCCAATTTATCCGGTCATTTGTTAGCCTATACATGGCACAGGATGTGTGTGTGTGTGTGTGTGTGTGTGTGTGTGTGTGAGACGTGGGGGCATGACTGCATGCGGCTGTCTTCAGGTTGCATATACCTTGTTCAACGCTGCATTTTGCACTATATGTCAGCGTGAGTGTGTACGTAGTTACCAGGCACACTGCAGCTCATCCCTCTCCTAAAAAGCATTTTATGGGTGTCTGTATGGGCGCAGGGCTGCAGTGACGGGGACAGGGATGGAGCAGGGAGAGTATGTGCCACGGTACAACAGAAGAAGACAGTATGTGCCACGGTACAACAGAAGAAGACAGTATATGCCACAGTACAACAGAGAAGAAGACAGTATGTGTCACGGTACAACAAAGAAGAAGACCGTATGTGCCACGGTACAACAGAAGAAGACCGTATGTGCCACGGTACAACAGAAGAAGACAGTATGTGTCACGGTACAACAGAGAAGAAGACAGTATGTGTCACGGTACAACAGAGAAGAAGACAGTATGTGTCACGGTACAACAGAGAAGAAGACAGTATGTGTCACGGTACAACAGAGAAGAAGACCGTATGTGTCACGGTACAACAGAGAAGAAGACCGTATGTGCCACGGTACAACAGAGAAGAAGACCGTATGTGCCACGGTACAACAGAGAAGAAGACCGTATGTGCCACGGTACAACAGAAGAAGACAGTATGTGCCACGGTACAACAAAGAAGAAGACCGTATGTGCCACGGTACAACAAAGAAGAAGACCGTATGTGCCACGGTACAACAAAGAAGAAGACCGTATGTGCCACGGTACAACAAAGAAGAAGACAGTATGTGCCACGGTACAACAGAAGAAGACCGTATGT